CTACGACTTGTGTTGTCATTGGAAAGTTGCGTGAGTTGATTGGATGTAAATAGATCTCTTCTTCATACGTATCTTCTACATATTCGACTTGACCTAATGGACAGAATTGTGAGAATGTTTGGAGTAACACAATGTGAATTTAAATCATTATTAATTACTGTGGCCATAAAAATTATTCGTTATTTAAATTAAATTTTTTTTTCAAATAGCTGAAGATGGATTTTTTATGGTTATGCAATATGCGAATGATGGTGATTTGGTAGATTTTCTTCAAAGTAATTTTCCAAACTTAAATTGGACAGATAAATTCCGACTAGCATTAGAGATTGCTGAAGGGCTAGACTTTTTACATAGAGAAGACATTGTGCATAGGGATCTTGTATGAAAATATCTTTCTCTTTATCCTCTAAAATACAAATTATATTAAATTCTTTAAATATAATATTTTTTGTAGCACTCTCGAAACGTTCTTGTCCATGAAGGGCATGCAAAACTTTCAGATTTTGGGATATCCCGTCAAATTAACGCTGAGTCTACAGTTGTCGTTGGAACTTTTGGGCGGTTACCATATATTGATCCTAAAATATTAAATGATTTAGACTATCCTTATGATAAACAATCAGACATATACTCATTTGGCGTTTTGATGTGGGAAATTTCTAGTGGTCAATGCCCTTTTTACGGACTTGATCCAACTGCGACTCGTTTAAGCATAATTAATGGTAAAAGAGAAACACCAATTCCAGACACTCCTGAAGATTATCGTCACCTTTATGTTGATTGTTGGAATGGTGAACCTCAAAATAGACCTATAATTGATACGATAGTGAGACGATTAACAATCTTGAATGAAAATCAAAATTTAAAGAATGAAAATGATTATATTTCTAGTATATATTAAATAATTCTACCAAATGTTTTTAATAAATTCATTAGAATGCATTAGAATGCATTTTAATCATAATATTTGAAAATTTTTTCTTTAGATGAGCCATCGCAGTTATCTGAAACTAGGCAAACTGAGAATCATGCGTTTTCAAAAAGTGGGGACTTTTTAAATCTTCTCTCTTAAATACTGTATTAAAGTAAATTTAACGTTTATATTTTCAAATTTAGGCCTTCATGTCATATTTAATGATTCTTCTGGCAATTAATCTGAACACATTTTGGAATACAATCACATTTTCAAAACCGTATTCGTAGGCAGGTTTTGTATCAATAACTGCTTTCTCAATATTTATTTTCTATATCTAGTCTTTACAATTCTACTATAAAATTATGCTAACAAGCTTTTAAAGCTCCTCAAGCAAATTTCATTTTTTAATAGTATAATTTTTTATTATTTTTTTTTTTACGTAAATAATTGTATTAACAGTGGGTGTTTTGTTATTTTTCAATTGTAATTTAATATAAAATATTTGATGTGACCGGACAACTCGTACAATGCATACTTCAAGTGAATCATTACAATTAGCAGCTTTCACAATATCATCCGATTTCTATAAATTGCATATCGATATATATACTTACATATATGAGGTTTTCTGAATACTGTAGTTCTACCTTGAAAACATGAACGACCCAATTCAAGATATTCCAGAAATTATAGGTCTTATTCTTGGCACAAAAAATACCTATAATTCACAAGATGTTGCAAAATATTATTGTGAACAAGTTGAATTTAAAAATTTCATGACTTATATTCCCAGTGGTCGGTGTTCTCGAGACCGTTTTGTCGCACTAAATCGATGTTATAGAGGTGATTAATTTCTTTATTATTAATATTAATTATTATGTGGTATTTTATTAACATATATTTATCTTTGTGGGGTGCAAATTCAGGATATATACATTCTGATAATAAAACGACTGTTCATGAAGTATTTTTTAACGAAGAACACAATAAGGCTGTAATTGACGTAACACATTTTGCGCGTCGTGGTGTTTTCTTCTGGGTCGAACAACCAATACGGTAAATAATGCAAAAAATTCAATTATCTACAAATATCAAAAATGGTTCTCATGTTAAAAAAAAATTTTTTTTTCTTCTTAGAGTTATGATAAAATTAGATTTAACTTACGCCAATGATGGAAAATATGTTATAAAAAAACAGGAAATTTTGTGTCAACCGGAGGAACTCATTGGCGGCATCGCACCCTATTTAGTTCCAAGTTTATTGATTTTACTAAAATCATTTTTTACTACGACTTGTGTTGTCATTGGAAAGTTGCGTGAGTTGATTGGATGTAAATAGATCTCTTCTTCATACGTATCTTCTCCATATCAATACTCATAAACATAAAATATTCGTAAATAATTTTTTCATTAATTTACTTTTTTAATTATATAGTTTAAAGCTCATAATGTTTTATTTTTTTTTATCCACTTCATGTCAAATGGAATGTTTAATGAAATAAAAATGTTATTTTTGATATTCTTAAATATTCAGATAACAAGCTTGCTAAGAATATAATTCTAAAGTTAAAAAATGATGGCTATTAGAAAAGATATATATTTTTTAATGGTCTTTTTACGCCATAAATTTAGGATGAAATTGGTTTGAAACCAAAATACTTACTTTTTCATTTCTAGCGTAGCGCTACAGCTTTTACCTTTGGTAAACCTTATAATTAAGTCCACGAATTATTTACGTTCAATGTGAAAACTATCCATTGTTATGACTAATCAACGACATATGCTATATTTTTTCAACGAAGAATAGCTTACTGAGAAACAATTTTTTAATAATTTTGGTTTACTTGATTAATGACATTGTGTTTACAAAAGAATTGTTTAACGTTAATGTAAGATGGCACTATTTATGGAAACATTGTACTCCTTATTTTCAGGTGAATCATTGCAGTATATGGAACTAACAAGCTCGTCTTTTTATTATTTGACATAAAATAGGCAAGATGCCACAAACATTAGGTGGAATTAAAGTTAATCAAAACTATAATTCATTTTTGATTAATAGAACGCCCAGACTATTTAAAGTTAGACGCACGAATTTACTAAAATTCTATACGATTAAAATACAAAGTTTATTATAAATTACCGGAGCGACGGAGGATTATCAGTAGACAGATAAAGTTAATGCAATGCAGTGAGAAAATTGTGCGACGTGTGACATATTTCTAAGTGAATTAGAAAATTCTCGACCACTCAAAAGCTACGCCAGAATTTGTTTTACATAATTGACCATAAATTTTAGGTATTTTACAATAGATTTTGTTGTACTGATGTAATGCAGTTTACAATGCTTTCTATAATACATTATTCATATTAAGCAAAATAAAATTTTTTACCCCTATTTAGTTAATCATGAAATTCTCTTTATAAGGTATCTTTTAACGGGTTTATTTAAGGAAAACATCTGTTGGAGGTGAATTTGAATTTCCTTTATTGTCTTCCACTTGCTTGTTACATAATCCGTCTTTCGCACGAATACTTTTTATTATAATGAACTCTCGATATAGTGAAAGCTAGTTAAAATCGTGATAGTGCGAAGTTGAACTCAAAGCCGGTCTACATAATATTCTCTCGGTATAATGATTTTTTAAAAAATTCTATTAATGGAATTAATCACTTTACTACATATATAATTTCTTGTACGTATGTACGTATTTCCATTTTGTCAATCATTCAAAATGTCACATGCAACTGCATGTCTTAAATGGTAATAAACAATCAGTCAAATAGACGTTATCGTTATGTACAATAAATCTGTAAGGCGTTTAAATACTAAAAGAAAGTCTACTGTAAAAAAAGAATTTCGATGCATCAATCATTAAAAAGCAAAACAATAAATTTATGTATCAACTTTAAATTTATCAATTCGAATGATTTAATATAGAAAATCTGCATCTGTGATACACATTAATATTGAATACCGGTGCAGAAGTATGAATGATGACGTAACTTTTTGTAGCACCCAACATTTGTAACTCAAGAAATGACGTTATGTCAAAAGTTACAACTGATGTTTGTCGTAACTTCAGAATAAGGCCGTTCAAAGTTGTTTAACGTTATCCCCTCCTCTCAGTTAGCTGTCCCTCCGAAAATTAAACAAGTCAATTACAGCGCAGGACAATCTCTAATAATCACGTAATTAAATGTCAAATATTCTGTGTCGTATACAGTACAGGTATATGTGTTTGTTTAAATTTCCCCTCGTGCTTGAGCTCAAATGTTGACGCTAAACAACTAATTAACTTTGAATGGCCTAAGGTTCTGCAAATGCCATGCACAAACATGGTCTCCGTGTTTTAATAGTAACATGCCAAGCATTTACAGAACTCTACTTCAGAGACGTGTCATAATATTCGATGATACCAATCATTCGTTATATGAACACACGAAATGAAGACTTTAAAATGAAGTCAGACTAAGTCTGAAACTCTTTCCAAATAGTGAATTTGTTAACGAAATCTTCGATATAATGTGTTATTTAAATTTTTATAAAATGAAATTGTTCTTTATTATGTAATATATAATACAATGTATATTTTCAAAAAAAAAAAAAAAAAAGGTTTGTAAAAATAAAAGGTTATTAACTAAATGCGTTCACATCAACTTTACGTTCTTTTGTAAGTGATTAAAGCTTGAAAATTTGTGTATCTCGTAAATATATATGCCATTATTTTTCAAGAAAGTTAAATTACGCCTGTCACATCCTGCATCACGTTTAATACTAGAATTACATTCAAAAATTAGTTACGACACTTTTGGCGTAACCATACGTCTACACCTCTAGTTTGATGCCAAGGAAGAACCAGACTTCGATCATATAAATTTATACGTGATCGAAGTCTGGTTTCCCTCAGCGTCTAGTGTTTGTAGTCAATTTTATCGACTTTACTGACTTAGTCAGCCGATTTTCCAAAAAAATCGACTTAGACGATTCTATGTTAGATTACATTAAAGTACCAATCAAATTCGATACAATAGTTCTCTTAGTACTAAGAGTAGAAGCGAAAAATTCCAGAAAGAAAAAATTAACGAACGTAAAATACGAGCAAGGTCGCGATAAAAGTTTGATAAAACCAACACATGATCCTTTATCGATATAGGCACCCATACTCATTAAGCTATAGTTAAAATTAAAATTTTGCATTTGGAACTTATATTAGTGTCGTACGTGGGAACGGAATTATGATGGGTTCGGAATCAACTTAGGTTGATTCCGAATACATGTAGGTTGTAA